GGGCCGGTTCCAGGCCCAGGTCCGCTGGAGGGGAGATGGGGCCAGGAATGACAAGGGGCATTGGGGGCGAGGCATGAAGGTTGGGAGGGAGAGGTAGGGATCGAGTTGAGAGAGGTTGGGTCTGATGGGCGTTGGCAGGGAAGGGTTACGAGGAGGAGTGTGGAGTGGGGTCGTGGTGAGGAGGTTCCTTGGGGCAGCCCCAGCTCGTGCGATGTGTAGGGGTTACTGAGCAGGCTGAAGGGGGTCGTAGCAGCCAATTAGATGACGCTCCAGAGCTCTTTCTCTGGGGACAGCTGCATCAGAATCAATTGGGATGCTTGTGTAGCATGCCAGTTCCTGGGCCCCACCCTTCACCCGCCGTGCCTGCAGCTTCTGGGACAGGAATCTGCATTTTAAGGAGCCCCCTACCTCTGTGATTCCGAAGTCCATTAAAGTTTGAGAAGCGCTGATTTACATGACAGATTGTCTTGCATATGGTTTTGCCCCCTCCTGGGAGGAGGACCTGTCTTCATCCCCACTACTAGGTACACACTAAAGATTTTTTGAAGTGTGTCTCAGTGCTGCTGCCGAGGTGGGTGAGGGGTGTCAGGAGAAGGGATGTGAGGCACCTCCTGAGGTGGAGAGTGGGGTGAGGCAGGTAGAGGGATGAGGGTCAGAATGAGGCCACTGAGTCCCTTCACCTGGTTGTTTGGGGCTGACCCTCGACTTTGGGGGCCATAGTGGCAGGGGCCAGGCTCCGTTTTGTTTCCTAGGCCACAAAGGTTTCGGGGACCTGTGTGAAAGCAGGTTTGGCCTTGTTTTTTAGCTTGGGAAGGGAACGTGAGGTTCAGGGAGCAGCAGGAGTACCACATATTGTGGTTTTAGGTGCACATAGATATGCTTTTAACCTGATACCTTTGAATTTCCAAGAACCATCAGTGCAGTTTAGGGATTTGGAAAGGAATAGGCCTTCTGTGTGAGTTACCTGTCTTGGAGAATTAGTTTTCTTTTAAAAAATGCCATTTCTCTTTCTTTCCTGGGTATGTTCTGAGGCTTCCATTCCTATGGCTTGTCACTGTTGGGTTATAAATAGCTTCAGCATATCAGGTGAGGCCAGGCTCTCGCTTCCTGCTTTGGGACCTCATGTGCACAGACCCTTTTGTTTGTTTTTAAGGCAATGCTTTGTTCCAAATCTGGTGGAACAGGTGTATACCTCTGTCAGGTTCTTGTTAAAGATTATCACATAATTTTACTTGATATCAGCAGAGTGCTCACAAAGCACCTTGACAGAATCTTATTTATTCTTCCACAGCAGTCCTACCTTCCATTTCCCAGATGAGGAAAGTTGAGGCCCAGAGAGATGAGGATGCCTTCCTTAATGTCACATAGCTACTAGGCCTTATAACTCTCAGTCTGGTGCTCTTTACTGTATCACTGGCAACCACTGATGTCAATCCCTGTGACCATAGTGATGGGTCTAGTTCTTTATCATCTCTTAGAATTAAAACTCCATCTTATAAAAACATTAAAAATATCCTTTATTTCCTAGGCTAGGCAAAACCTGGCACTTGTTGTTACTTGTCCTTTGGTGTGGCTGTTTTTCTCTCTCTCCCTTTCTCCGATCTGCTTTGATTCCCATGACCCCACCTAACATGGATCACAGTCTTTTCTGAACAGACTATAGAGTCAAGATCTCAGAGAAGGAGAAGAGTGAGGCCATCTGGCCCACTGAGCCCACCAAAGCTTGTTTTCTTTTATTTCCCATTTGGTTTTCAACCAAAGCCTGGTACAGAATGCATTTGCAAGAACTCAGGTTAATTTGTATTAGAAGCCGTGACCAAATTTGGTTTGTCAAAACCTGCACCTTCTTAACTCACTGGGTGTGTCCATTTTTATATTGGACCAACAAACTGCTTTTTTGGCTGGCTGTGGTCTAGGAGTCCATGCATGACTGGTTTATTTCCAACATAATCATATTTGATTTCTCTTTTTTACTTCAGAATCTGGAGTTCAAAGTTGTCTTCCTCGATTTGAAAACCTGTTATGAACTTGTCATGATTTTATCTCCCACTTTCCTGATTAGCCTCCCTGTCACTTTGATTTCCTTCCAACCTTGTCACATTTCTCTCTTGTCTTTTTTTCCCCTAATTTGCCCTTTCTTGGATATCCATGCATGTAACTCTTTGACTGACACAGTTAGGTGGGATCCAGTTCCTGCTCATTGATTAGTTTTGCTTTGAATGGGAGCAGGCTTTCTTCTTCAACTCCTCCCTCCCTTTCTTCCCAGAACACCTGCCTTCAGTTTTCTCTGCTTATTCAAGGACAGGCTTCTCTTGAAATGGTTGCTGTGAAAAAGGTCCTGAAAAGACAGCTCCAGGCCCTCTATATCTGATAAACCTAAAGGGAATCTGCAAACCCAGCGTTTTTCATTCAGTATACACATTTTCCCATGGCCCACCATCTGCCTGCTCCTGTGTTGGCCCTGAGATCTAGAAATGAATCAGACACAGTCCCTACCCTCAGTGAGCTCACAGTAGTAATGAATGCCTGCCATTTGCCAGAACTCTGCAAGATACTTTCAAATGTTATCTCTAGTGTACACCAAAGAGGAAACTTTATCCTTATTTACAGTGGATGACACTGAGGCTGCGAGAGGTTAAATAACATGGCTAGAGTCACACATCACAGCAACTGGGTGGCAGGGCTGGGATTCAAGCACCAGGCTGGGTTACTATGGGGAAGCATAGCTAGAGGGTACAAGACCAAACACAAAAGTTCTTGGCCTGAGGAATCAGCTCTTTCCTACTCTATGAATAAGATACCAGGAAGATTCAGAAATTCCATTTCCTTCCTGCAGCCTGTCCTGCAGATGCTAATCCCACAGCCCATTCTGAATTAACCCTGGGACCACATTAGGCCTCGGAGCTTGTGGTGAAGGTTCTGGGAAGTCCCAGCCTTGAGAAGGGCAGGCTGCCAATTCCAAAAGATACCTGTGAACCTGGGTCAAGGTTACAACAGTGGACTTTTGAAATGCATGGGATGGATCTGGACTCAGAGAGATGGGTCATCCCTGTGATGCTCATTGCTCCCCTTCTGGGATTGAGTTACTCTCTCGTGTGGTGTCTCATCACAGATTTTGTGTCTACAGATAAGGAAAAGGGGAAGGAAAAGCTGGAGGAAGACGAGGCTGCAGCAGCCAGCACCATGGCCGTTTCAGCCTCCCTAATGCCACCCATCTGGGACAAGACTATCCCGTATGATGGCGAGTCTTTCCACCTGGAGTACATGGATCTGGACGAGTTCCTGCTGGAGAATGGCATCCCTGCCAGCCCCACCCACCTGGCCCAGAACCTGCTGCTGCCTGTGGCAGAGCTAGAAGGGAAGGAATCGGCCAGCTCTTCCACAGCGTCCCCACCGTCCTCCTCCACCGCCGTCTTTCAGCCCTCTGAAACCGTGTCTAGCACAGGTTGGTGACGGGCCTTTGGGCAGGGCCACCTGTCCCATCCAAGGCAGTCTGCTGCCCACTGAGGGCTGCTTGTGCCTGCATACCCAGTGAGCCCCTTCTCTCAGGGCAGGGCCTGGTGGGCCTGCAGTGTGGAGAAACCCCCTGCTCCCAACCCATCAGCACAGTCCCTGAGGCTGTAGATAAAAATAGCAGTCACCTCAGTGGCAGTGGGAGTCTTTCTGTGGTTGGTGTGCTACAGATGGTCAGGACAGTGAACTGAGCTCTTCCAGTCAGGATTTGAAGGATAGGATTCCCATTCTGCATTTTCTCAGTGTGGCTCTTTACCCCTGCATGCACTTTGCTACAGATTATTGGGAAGCTCAGGCAATAATAATAATCATCATAATAATACCAGCTAGCATTTATTTAGCACTTACTCTGTGCCAGGTATTAACATGTAATCCTCGCAAAGAAGCTTATGAGGTTGATACTATTATCCATGTTTTATAGGTGAGGAAACTGAGAAGGTCAAGGTCACCCAGCTGGTAGGTAGTGGGAGCAGTACTTGAACCCAGGATGCCTGACTTCATAGCCTAGTATTGCTTAAGCACTGACATGAAAAAGGCATCATCTTCAGAATTCCATTTCGTCCTCTTGTCCATTTTCTGGTGGGTGCTTGGTTGGTTGGTTGGTTTTCATGCCCCTTGGACATGAACCCTCCAGAGAAGGCATGGCCCTTGTTTCAGGGGTGTCTGCAAAGCTTTCTGCAAGCTCAGAGGCATACAGGTTGATGGGTCCTGGAAGGACCCCAGGAGCTGGTATGGAACCCAAGGAACCCACAGCCAAAGAATTCTCATGCTCTGTTTTTCTTTAATTTTACTTTTTATTATGGAAAAATTTTCAAATACAAAAGTAAGAGACTACTATAATGAACCTCTGTGTAACCATCACTCAGCTTCCGTAACTCTTAACTCATTATCATTCTTATTTTCTGTAACCTCTTCCATTCCCCTCATCTGATTTCTTTCAATTAAATCCTAGATATTATATTATTTCATCCATAAATATTTCAACACAGATGTAAAATATAAGTGTTATTTAAAAAAACAAACAAACCAATTTTACATCTGAACTTGACAATAAATCCAATCCATCAGCATTCAGATTTCCAAAAAGTTGTCTCATGCATGTTACTATTTCATTGTTTTTTGAATCAGGATCCAATAAGACCCACACATTTCATTTAGTTATGTCTCTTAAATCTCTCATTATCGATAGGATCACCTCCCTTTTTTTTTCTTTGCAATTTATTTGTTGAAGAAACGGAATCATTTGTCCTGCAGAGTTTTACACATGCTGGATTTTTCTGACTGTAGCCTCGTAGTGCCATTTACCATGCTCCTCTGCCCCTTGCTTTTTTCCTATAAACGGGTTAGATCTAGAGGCTCATCTGATTCCAGCCAAATTCTTATTTGAAGTCAGCTATTTTTCGTGCTGCTCAGGTTGTCCTAGAAGACTGGCTTCCTGTATGGGGAGGGTGCAGAGCTGGAAATGAGCCCCCATCTGGTACCTTAGACCACCTAGGGGGCATTCGCCTTCCATTTTGTTTTTAAGTAAACCTTCTCACTGAAGTATGACATACAGAATGCCCACATTATATATATACAGCTTGATGAATCTTCACAAAGTGAAGCCACCATGTGACAACCACCCAAATCGGGAGATAGAATTCTGTTGGTGTCCCCTAAGTGCCCTGTGACCCCTCTCAGTCATTGCTCCGCAGAGATGATCACTAACCTTATTTCCATCACCAGAGATGCCTTTTGCTTGTAGTTGAACGTTCTATTAATGGAATTGTATTTTATGTCCTATTTTTTGTTTGCAAGTATTACACGTTGATTACATTTATACTCACTTAACATGTATAGCTTCCTATATCTAGCTTTATAGCACACACATAAATTACGTGGGCATCAGACTCTCTTTACACTGACAACACAAAGGTACAGAACATTCTTATGGAATACTGTGACAAAGAGAAACCACAATACAGACAAGTAAGATTTATACTGAATTGTACACATGGTAAAAATGAAGGTAGAATTTCCCCTCTTAATTCCTCAGTTCCTTCTGTAGGAAAGACAGAAGCAGTATGTATCCTGCATCTAGCTGCTTTCCTCAACTTTGTTTGCGAGAATCATCCATGTTGCTGCCTGTGGCATAGTTTGTTCATTTCATCGCCGAATGACATTCCACTGTATGACCACACCACAGTTTACCCATTCTGCAGTTCTGGTTTGGGGTTATGCTGCCATCAACATTTGTGTGCAGGTCGTTTGGTAAATATACGTGTATATTTCGGTTGGGCATTCAGTTACCTAGGAGTAGAATGGCTGGGTCATCGGACATGCATACATTCAGCTTTGGTAGATAACTGCCAAATAGCGTACAGAATGGTTGTAGCCATTGATACTCCCACCAGCAGGGAATGAGGGGCTCTAGTTGTCAGCCTTTGGTACCTTGGCTGTTTGTTCTGCAGGTGTAAAGTTTGGCATCCCCAGTATTCCCACAGTGACCACGTTGGCCCCTGGTCATTCACTCCTCTGACATGCAACCCTCTTTGTAATTGACGCCCCCCAGGTAGAATACAATGAGTTTATGTGCATGATCCAGTTAAAACCTAGGTCAGATCATGTCATACCTCTGCTCGGAGCCCTCCAATGACTTCTCCCATATCAGGGTAAAAGTAAAAAATCAGTGGCACCATTGACATATGGACCAGATAATTTTTTTGTTGGGGTTGGGGGAGGGACTGTCCTGTACATTGTAGGATGTTTAGCAGCATCCTTGGCTCCTACTCACTAGATGCCAGTAGACCACCACCAACCCCCTCCCCAATCTTTATGTGGCCAAATGTCCTCTGTAGGACAAAATCGTGCCCTACTGAGAAGAACCACTGCTTTATTGGAGTTAAAGGCCATATATTTTCTGTTCTTGACCTATTATTCTCCCCTCTCATTCATTCCCTCCAGCCACAGTAGTCTTTGCTGCTCCCTGGACGTGCCAGTGCACTCGATGTTCACTCTTTCTGAAATGTTCTTCTCTCACATACTCACATGGCATCTAATGCTTTGAAAGATATTTTAAATTTATCTTGTATGATGGCAGTCTTGCCTGCTAGAATAACATTCCACAAAAGCAAGATTTTTACTTGTTTTGTTCTCTGCTTTGTCTTTGCCAGGACAGTACCTGGCATGTAGTTGGTGTTCAATAAAGATTTATTGACAATTATTTTGTGTACTCCTATCAGTAGCATTAAACAAGTAGGCCAAAGGTCTAGGGGTTGTTGTTTTTTTATAACGTAACCTCTTAACAGCCTTTGAATTCTGAAAGTCCCTTTAATCCAATGTCCACTCCATAGTGGCAACCAGGTAGGGCGGAGAAGAACAAGGATTCAGAGTCAGCCAGACCCAGACTCAAATTTTAGTTCAGTCACTTAGCATCTGTGTGACCCTGGGAAAACCATGTCATTTCTATGAGCCTTCATTGCCTCATCTGTAAAATAAGGTTAGCAACTGATCTTGCTTTCAGAGTTGTCATAAGACTAAATGAGCACAGTGACTGGGAGATCTCTGGGGATTCAGAAATGGAAAGCATTTCATTATTCAGTCTGTGTCTCTAATTCATTATCGTTCATGGAGAGATTCAGCTGTTTCTCATTACTTGAGAACTTGAAACCACAGGAAGTTAAGGAGGTATAATTTAATGATCTGCTTAACATTTTTTGCTGGGGGAAGGGGGGACGACTAGAAAATCCTCTTTTTCAGGGGTCTGTTTCCTTTTGAGCATTTTGTCCCCAAAGGGAAGAATCCTTTCCAAGTCTGTGTTGTTGAATTGCATCACATATGCCAGTCTGGCTTGGGGCCTGGTGGTGCTGTAGTTTTTCTTGCCCCCAAGTGGCAGTGGCTGTGCAACGCTGAGATTCAAGCAGGTGTCTGTGTATGTAACATGAGTCTTCGTTGCCCAGTGGGCTGCTTCAGGACCCCCTGCCTCTGTGTCTTTCAGAATCCTCCCTGGAAAAGGACAGGGAGACACCCAGTCCCATCGACCCCAGTTGCGTGGAGGTGGATGTGAACTTCAATCCCGACCCTGCCGACCTGGTCCTCTCCAGCGTGCCGGGCGGGGAGCTCTTCAACCCTCGGAAGCACAAGTTTGCAGAGGAGGATCTGAAGCCCCAGCCCATGATCAAAAAGGCCAAGAAGGTCTTTGTGCCCGATGAGCAGAAGGTAACCTGGTGTCTGTATAAGTGAAGGTACAGCATTGGTTCAGGAGCTGGGGGGCTGTGCTTCCACACAATTGATGTTATCTGGAGGGTCCTCTTTCCTTGTGGACACCGTTTAGAAAGGCGTGAGCTCAGAGCAGAGAGCCATATTCTGCTGCAATTGGTAGAAAGAAAGGGAGTCAGGTGGCGTTTGGCCCCAGCGTGACTCCATGTAGCTCCTCTGTTCCCTTCCGAGCCTGGTCCTGCTTCTCTGGCTTTAGCCCAGCCTTTGGACAGCAGCTCACTAGGCCACAGGAAATGGGCTGAGCAAGCCCTGGCTTTGAAGGACAAAAGGTAGTTGTATGTTGCTATCCCCAGGGGACAAGCAAGCAGCTTTCAAGCTGATGGTTTTATAGGAATTGGGAGGGGGGAGGGAGAAGAGGATTTTGCACTTTTTCCATCCTCTCCTGTGGAAAACTCACAGGAAGGACTTTTCATCCCAACTGTGCAGTCAGGCAGACCTGGGTTCAGGCCCCACTTTGCCACCTAGAACTAGCTGCGCCTCAGGTTCCTCGTCTGTAAAATGGGAATAACCGTACCTGCCTCTCAGGAGGTTTCTGAGGCTTTCATAACAATGACAATGAAAATGGTAAACCTTTACGTGGTCCTTACTGTAGACCAGGCATGTTATAAGCACCTTGTACATATTAACTCATTTAATCCTCAACTCTGTGAGGTAGTTACTGTTTTTATCCCCCATTATAAAAATAAGGGACCTGAGACATTGAGAGGTTAAGGTATTTGCACGGTTCCATGACTAGTAAGGGGCAGAGTCAAGATTTGAACTCGGGACTAGACTTTAGCCACAACCAAAATGACTAAGGGAGGCAAGGTATAGATGGTGTTTTATGTTGGGGCAGCACACAGCAGGCTCCCAGTCAGTGGAGTCCCCTTCCCTCCACCACTTCCTGCCAGAGGGTTTTGTTTCTCCTCCTGGAGAGAGGGCTGGACCCCTCGCTGTCCTTGTCACATGCAGCTCCTTCCCCAGGTCTCAGCTTCCATTCTGGCTGGACCAGATGAGTGACAGGAGGAATGTGGGGCGTGGAGTGCTGGCAGGAGGGGAAAGGTTGGGTTCTTTCGTGGGGAAAGAGGAGAGACCCACAGAGGACACTTCCCCACAGGATGAAAAGTACTGGACGAGACGCAAGAAGAACAATGTGGCGGCCAAACGGTCCCGGGACGCCCGGCGCCTGAAGGAGAACCAGATCACCATCCGGGCAGCCTTCCTGGAGAAGGAGAACACGGCCCTGCGGACGGAGGTGGCTGAGCTACGCAAGGAGGTGGGCAAGTGCAAGACCATCGTGTCCAAGTATGAGACCAAGTACGGGCCCTTGTAACCCGTGCCCTCGCCCGGGCAGCGCTACCTGCACCTCAGCCCTCTGCCTGGGGGCTCCCTGAAACCCTCACGTGTGGAGACTTATGACTCGTCATGGGCAAATGGCGGCACACCTGCTCCAGGAGCGGTCACATTCAAGCTTCATTGTCACATGGCCAGCACACGTGGTGGACTTCCCTGGGGGGCTGGCCTCCTCACTGGTGGAGATGCAAGAGAATCCACGTAAACGGGTGTGTCGGCCTTAGTTCCTATTCTTGGATGTCCCAGCTGAATCAGAAGGGGACCTCTGGAGTGCAGATCTCCTTTCACAGGGCACTCAGGCCGCCCCGACTGTCCCTCAGGCTCCAGCCTGGGCCGTGGAGGTTTGTCTCCGCAGAATGAGTCCATCATTGTCACCCTACATCTTCTCAGGTAGCAGGGTGCATTTCCAGTTGGGCTGTGTCTGTTGTCCACCTCAACCTCCCCAGAAAGTCTTTGAGAGAAATTCATTCCCATCTCCCTCAGAAGCAGAAAGACACACCAGCTCGTCCGTAGTGTCTGCATGGGTCCCAGGCCACAGGAACCGGGGCCTGCAGCAGGAGCGCACCCAACCATTGTCAGCTCCCACACCCCTTTACTCTGTGGCTCTGAGGCCTGGAAGCCAGGGAGGAAACACTGGCCGTTGGCCGTCTCTGCGTTTTGTCTGCTGTGGAGGGACTCAGGGCGGCCGGTCTCAGCCCCGATCCCAGCGCAGAGGGCAGCCTCTGCTTCTCCGGGTCACTCATGGAGGCCACCTGAATCTTGTTTGTCCCACTCGACTGGGCCTCTACTGAGCCTGCTGTTTGTTTTCACCCAGTGACCAATCTCAGATCTTGGATTTAAAAGGAAAACCCCCCCTCATCTAGGAAATTTAACTTCCTGGAGCTGCGTGTTGTTTAGAAACCAGCCTCCACAGCCTACTGTGGGCTGGGCGCTGGTGCATGTGTTTCTTTTTCTCCTTGCTGTGCTCTCCAAAGCGGGCCAGGCCAGAGGAAAGCAGAAGAGGGCTTCCAGTTCTCGCTTTAGAATCCCTCCCCTGGGCAAACTGCCCAGAGGGCACCCTGGTCAAGAGTCACCAGGGTTGCAGCACAACTCATGGAATTGCAGGTTGCCGGGACATTTACATGGGCTAGAGTCCCCTCAGTCTGGGTCGCTGGAGATGTGGTTACCACACAAGCTTGGCTGTGGCGCGGTGTGAGGGCTCCTCGCAGCTGTGGCTTCACTGCCTCACAGCTGCTTTCCCTTGTGTCCAGCTGGACTCGTCCTTTTGCTCGGCCCTGGAGAGTCATGGTGGAAATCCATGGGACCTCCGCTGTTTGTGGGCAGCTGGGTGTATGTATTGGCTCAGGGCCAGGCAGCCTGTGGTAAAGAGGGGTCAGAGGTGATGAGCACACTTGGTCATGCTTACCACTGGCTTTATTTAAAGCGGTAGCTCCAAGACCCGGGCTTCAACCCCTAAAGACTTTTTATACCGTGTTCAGACCAGGGGAAGCCATCTGCTGGCCATGGCTGCACCCCAGGGGAATGCCATGGCCCTCGGGGACCTGCACTCCCACTTCTTGGGGGACTTGACAGGGTCCCTGAAGCCAAGGGAGGTCACCCCCTCCCTCTAGGCCCCTGACTTTTACTTTGTGGTTCTATAAAAACCATGTTCACACTTTTCACTATTGTAACCACAACAGGGCAGTTGTATCTGGCATGTGAGTGTCCTGCCCTGGGCAGCTCGCCCGCCCGGGCATCTTCTCCCTCTGGTCTGGCTGCCCACCAAGAGGGCAGTTCTTATTTTGTTATTGGTAGAAGAGCCTCCAGCTTAAAAGCTCTTCATTTTCTTTGGCCAGAAAGTGTAGGGTTTGTGTTTTTCTGTTTTCTTTTTAAAGGATGGAGACTAAATTTCTGAATGGCGTCCAAGTTCTGACCCCAGTGAGTGGGATGATGGCCTGATGTCTCTCCTCTTTGTCCCACCTACTGCCTCCTCCATGCCCTCCCCTCCTCATCCCCAGGCAGTGGATGTCTGGTTCCTTCCCAAAGTGCTTACTTGGAAAGAGTGTGGCTGCTGGCCTCTTTTAGAAGAGTCCCTTTGAGTCGGGAGCCTGGCAGGGACAGGGATATGTCCATGGAGGTTGACATGTTGGGGAAAGGAGTGCTCAGGGAAGCGTGTCTCCTTCCCAGGCCTAAGACTCATGTCCTTGCAGGAGGAAGGGTTGGTGCCCACTAGCTTCCATCATGGGATTGGGAGTCTCCTTAACACTCTCCATCTTGGGGCTGACAGCCAAAGACTGAGGCTCCTGTGCTCAGGTCTTTGACATCCACTGAAAAGCACTGGAGGCCAGAGAAGCCAACATAAACCGCTTTCCACAGGTTTGTGATGGGCTGGGGTGTGCCATCCCTTCCTGAGCACGCTGTCTTCAGTTTCATGGCAGCCTCAGTATAACCTCAGAACAGACAAATCACGAATGAGCTAGAATGTTGCAAGAATATACATATAATGTGTATCTAGATAGAGAAATATATATATTTAGAGAGAGAGAGAGCTTTCATGATGGCCAGCAACCTTGTGGAGGACCGGGCCAACCCTTACCCTTGGTTAAAGGAAGGTTTGCCTGTCTGGGTCCTGAGGTTGGGGAGGACACTTAGCAGTGACCCTTGACCGGGTAAGCATCACTCTGCTGAGGGGTTGCTGTAGCCCTGGGCGAGCAGCTCCCGCAGTCCTCCAGCCTGGGGAGTGGGGGCAGGCGCGGAGCCAGCAGAGGAGCCACCTTTGTGCTGGGCAGCTCGCAGTCCGTCCGGGGCCCTGGGAGCTGGGTTCCACGGAACACAAACAGCCGAGAGCCCCTGGTTTCCATGGCAAAGCCCCACCCCAGAGCTCCTTTAACATCTGTTAATTAAGTGCAATAAATTTTTCTAGAAAATGGCAAAGATGATTTCCAGGTGGATACTGCTGTCTTATGGTGTTGGGGTGCCAGAACACCACTTGGTTTTATTTTTCTAAGTGCATGTGCTGTGATAAGAGTGTGTGGGGCTCTGCATCCTCCCCTGGGAGCTGGCATTCCAGTGGGCCCCTCTTTCTCACCTGTGTTGGGGGAAGGAGGCAAGGAGAAAATTCCTTTTTCCCAGCCGGCGAGGGCAGAAGCAGACCATAGCCCATTGGCCTTATGTGTGTGTGTGCGCGCGCGTGCGAGTGTGTCACTGCTGGTGGGCCGGAGTGATGTGGCAGGGAGGGAAGCCGGGAATGTAATCTTTTCAAAATAAAATTAAATATTTTGAGATGAGAATTGTGGGACTGTTTTTTCTGTCCTCCCCCGCTCCCCCTTTCTGTGTTTCCTCTGTATGAATGTTGGCCTAGGAGCCTGAGGTTTCCACTGGCACCTCTGCATCACCAACCGGGTTAGGGCCAAGTCACCTAACCACTCTGCCTCAGTTTCCTCACCTGTCAGATGGAAATAATTCTTACCCGCTTACCTCACAGTTTATTGAGGAAGGACAAGTATCAGATCAAAAGCAGTTTGAACAAACAACATTGTTTACAACTGGTAGAAAGACAGGGAACTGCTCATCTAGTTACACTCGATGGCAACTCTAAAAAAAAACCAAACAAGACCGGTAGAGTTGGGTCTTGGTGGTGGGATTCTGGGAGTTTCCCTTTTCTCCTGCCAAATGTTCCATCTGTGGCCATGAGGCCTTCACAGTTAAAAGACAAGTTGTATTAATACACAAGGGTGCAGCCACCTGCAGGGCACCTGCACTGTCGTTTCTGACTCACTCGGCATTGGCATCCCCAGGTCCCCTGTTCAGGGCTGGCCCTGGCTCCGTGGGGGCTTTCGTCCAGGGGGTGGGGCGGAATGTAGGGCTCCACCCTCACCAGGGCACCCTGGGAGTCCCCCTTCCTCTCTCCCCACTCCGCGCTGTCTTCACCCTTCTTGCTCAGCTGCCTCCTATGTGGGGCCGAGGTGCCTGCTTCCTCAGCGAGGCCCAGAAGGGCTGCCTTCTTACAACCAAGACTGTTCTGTTCTGCCTCCCCACCTGCATGGTGTAGGTGCTCAGGCTCCCTGTCACTGGTGGGGCCAAGAACTGTTTGTAATTTTGTTTCTAAGGAGAAAGACGTGCATTTGGAATTTGGAGACAGGCTGGCAAGGTTGACTTTTTTAAATGGCCATTTTGTAGATGAGCATTGAAGCAAAGCAACATGCCCTAAATCACAGCAGCAAAGCTAAAATCCAACCCCAGGGTGGGTTTCAAATTTTCAAATTGAAATTCCCATAATCATAGCAGGCAGACTGTTCTCAGCCTGGGATCAGGGCAGTGCCTCATCTCCCACCTCCTTACAGCGTCTTACAGCGCCTTCCAGCTCAGCCTCCCTCTCATTCCAGCTGTGGCGTCTTGAGCACCTACTACATCCTTAACCTGTGGACGGGACACCAGCCTTAGGTGCTCAGCACAGCACATGGCAGCTACCATTGTGGCGATGGTGTAGGAGGTACCGACCTACACGGACACGAGCCCTCCAGGCCTCGCAACTGTCAACCATCAGGAAGGGGTTTCTTTTGGACGGTGTGGGATGCAGTCAGGGTCAGACCAGCTGTGTGGTCTTGGGCAAATTACTCCATCTCCCTGAGCTGTTTCTCTACAGTGCCACACACGTAATGTGTGAGTACAAAGCCGCACACTCCCTTCCCACCGTCCAACTCCCTGGAGGACAAATTTCCAAAGCTAAACACATGCCCCATCCTTAACTGTCCCCATCTAGCAGACAGCCCTCACACACCGCCTGTGGCGGGGCGAGGCTGGCCCAGCTGGCAGCTCCTGACGTCAGCAGCTAATCTGGGAAAGCTGCCCGCCAGAGATAGGCAGTCTTTTCCAAAGGAAAAGGAAATCAGAACCAGGTTTCAAAGTGGGGGCCCCCAGCCAGCCCCCATTACGTTCTCAGGGGCTTCTCGCTTCAGCAGACCCTCCTAACCATGCAGGCTGGACCCTGGGGGAGTGGGAGCCTATTACTATGAGCGGCTTCTCTGTCAGCAGGGGCTGGGGCTGCACAGGACGCCATGCTCAGCTTCCCCCAGCTCTGAGGCTGCTGGTGTGTGGGATCTGGATTCCAGGCCGATTCCAAGTCAAAATGGGGGTGAGGTGGGGGGCAGAAGGGCCAAGGAGCCTTAGTGCTGCCTCTAGGCCTGTGCTGGTTCCATGCAGGCTGCAGAGAAAGCAGAGGGAGGAGAGAACTCAGCTGGTCCTCTCAGAGCTGGGTGCCCGATTTTTCACTGCTTTTGTGTCATCCCATCACAGCACCTGAGGATGGCTGTCCCCTTTTTACAGAGAACACTGAGGCTCAGTGAGGTCTTAGGTGACTTGCCCAAGATCTCACAGCTGCTAAGTGTGAGAGCTGAGATTCCAACCCAGGCCTGATGGTTCCTAAGCCCAAGCTCCTTCTGCCATCTCAGTGACCTGGCAAGCGGCTGGTGCTACCTGGGCCTGTCCACACTGGAAGGACACCCTTGCCTTCCACCTTCCTTGGGCCAGCAGAGGTCAGCCAGCCAAAGCAGCCAGACCAAGGTCTGGTCTGACATCTTCCATGGGCTCCCCATGCCACCCTGGCCAGCAGCAACAAGGCTCAGCTGTTGGTGGTGGGGAGGAAAAGACTGACATTTGTCCCACATGCTGGGCCAGGACCTTCCTGGTGACCACATTTGACAAATATGGAAACAGGTTCAGAGGAGAAGTGATTTCCCCAAGGCCACACTGCTTCTCTGTCCTACCCTCCCTCCAACCTCTTCCTTGGTCCCCACCACACTTGGACCCATCTGTCTCTCTCACTCCTTCATGGCATTCGCTCTCCTCCTGGGTGCCAGGGTCAGAAGGCTTTGGAAAACAAGAACCTTAGAAGTCATCACATCCAGGTCTTCCCTGAATGGATGGGAAAGAGACCCAGAGAGGGAAAGGAGCTACCCAAGGTCACACAGCAAAATGAGACTTGGGCTAAGGGATCCTGCTTTTTTACACTTCTCATCTCCCTAGAATCACACTGAAGCTGGGTGGCCCGTCACTCAAGTAGGGCACTAGCTGCTCCTACCAGACCATGAGCTATTCACAGAAACCTGGGGTCTTATGGAACCAGAAACCAGGCCTCATCTCCAACTTGCTGTGTGACCTCCTGTAAGCCACATCCCTCTCTGAGCCCCTTATTCTTCAGTGCCATGGGGATCAGAATCCCTCTCCTGCCCACTCGTCAGGGTTACTGTGAGGTTCACGTGAGATGCTGAATAGAAAGAAGCCCCTTGTAAATTGCAAGGGATGGAACATGGGGCCCAGAATGTGATGAAAGGTGCCTTGCCTCACCCTTCCCCCACATCACACACAAATCACCATCCCCACAAACGTGCCCTTGCCTGCAATTCCACCATTAGGAAGGCCGGCTGGGGGTATGAGGAAAGTGGAGGCAGGAGATGGGGCTGGGAGTCAGCAGGACCCCACCAGAGCTGAAAAACATGGCTGTTCCCATGGGGTCTGAGTCCAGGACTGCTTTGATCCCAGGACTCCATCTCAGAAGCTGCTGGACTGAACTCAAATTGCCTTGAAATCCAACCCTGCAGCCTTGCCGAGGGACCTAGTGTGAGCCTTAGGGGTGTGACCAGAACAAGTGGAGGCACCCAAAGGTGGGGAGTCCTGAGCTAGGAGCCAGTGGCCAGCCCACCAATGACTTGCTGGGCTCATCCTTGCTCTGGGCCCCAGTTTCACCATCTGCCCAAGAGGATTGGAAGTGTGGATGTCGGTACTGAGGTTCAGACTTGGAAATGCTACCATGCCTTTGTCCATGCTTGGGCAAACCCAGCCTTCCCTTCCTCTCTTCTCTGCCTCACAAACTCCTAGTCATCCCTCTAGGTTCCAGCCGACTGTCACCTCCACCAGCTCCATCAATGCTCGTGGGGACAAGTTGCCCCTGCTACATGATCTCACACCTTCTTCATGCCCCCAGCCAGGCCCAGTCTCTCCTTACACTTAAGGGAGGGTCCAATGAGCCAAAACAAGTGAAACAATTAGAACAGTGTGTGACAGAGCAAGTGGCCATACCTGCCAGCTCAGAGGGCAGAAATGACTTGTTCTAAGCCCACAGCTGTCATAGAGTCAGGGTTTGAATCCAGGCAGCCCAACTCCAGGGCCCTCCCTCTCAGCCCCATGCCATTCTGCCTCACCTCCTGTTACTAGGGACGAAGTGGCCCTGCCCTCAATAACCCAGTCCCTCCCCGCGGGCACCCATCCAGTCCGCACTCGCCTGCAAAAGGACTCTGCCCCTGCGATCCTGTCTCCTATGTCATGAGTCCCTCCCTCTCCACAACATCATCTGGGCATCCTACAGACATGCTGTAAAACCTTCTATCCTGAAAAGTAAACACCAAACCTCCTGGGCCCCCATCGCCCTCCAACTACCACCACCTTCTGCTCGCTCTATAGTGAAACTCAGAAGGGCGGTCTACCCTCCGCAGCCTCCACTTTTCCTCCAGTCAGACTTTCACCCTCCACTGAAGCCTCCTTCTCAAGGTCACGGAGGACCTCCTTGGCGTTGGCAAATCAACTTGGGTCGATGTTCAAGCTTATCTTTCTCCACCTCTGAGCAGCGTTTAACCCAGATGCCCACTCCTGCCTCTTGAAACTTTCTCTCCACCAGCTCTAGATTCTCCCTTCTGGTCTCCCTGAGCCTTAATGTCCCAGGCCTAGGGCTCTGTCCTGGTGCCCTGCTCCCTGTGTGATTCACCCAGCCTCAGGCTTGGAGTGCCAGCTAGACCCCAGCAACCTCTACATGCATATCTCCAGAGCCATTCCCCCCCACCCCAGCTCCAGACTCCTATATCCACCCGCCTATCCGGCACCTACGCTTGGACAGACACCTCACAGGCATCTCCACCTCAGCCGCCCAGAGGGTCCTCCTCCATCTTCGCTTCAAAGTAAAGGGCCCCACCATTCCTCAGGCGCTCTGGGTTAGCACAGCCCCATTCAATCCATCTGCAAATCCCATCAGTTCTAGAATCCAGCCACTGCCTGCCACCCCTACCACCACCCCCTGGCATCTGAGCCACTGTCCTGTCCTGCCTGATTACCGAAGCATCATCCTGAGTTCGTTTTCACCTGGCAGTCTGTCCTCACAGCAGCCTTTAAACCATCCATCACATCCCGTGGTTCCCATCACACTCAGAAATACATCCAAACTCCTCACCTCAGCCTATAAAGCCCTATGAGACCTGGTCACTGACCCAGTCTACTTCCCCCTGCACCCTGCACCGTGTCTAGCCACGTTAACCACTTTGCCCCTCTGGGATCACACCCAACTCTTTCCTGTCTCAGCCATTGCATTTGCTGTTCCATCTGTCTGGAGTGATGACCCCCAGATCTTCTCAGCCTAGTCCCATCCTCAGTGCCTGGCCTACCCTGTGCTTGGCACCTAGTAGCTGCTCACTAAGTGTCTGCTGAACTCACGGGGAAAGATGACAGGACCAGGGCTGGTTGTGACAGGAGTGCCAAGTCACCACCAGGTGGCACTGCAGATACATCCTTGGGCAGTGGCCTCCGGTCCAGCCTCCAGATTTGTCCTCTCAGCAAAGCCTCCCTTCCCGACTCCCCACTTACTCACCACCCGCTGCTGTGCCAGGCGGTGCTGTGGGGCACCAGCTGACTCGCTTCTACCCTGCATGTCCCCAATGGCTACTGGTAGACACGGTCCCGGGTATCTACAGAAGCCTGGGAGGAAGGGGGGTCTGTGCTTCTGGGCTCTTGCTGAGGAGGGAGTGGATGTGTAGGCACAAGAGGGTGGAGTTGGGGGAACCTGGGATGAAGGGCCCTGGGGAGGCCTGAGACTTGGAGTCTGTATTGCACTTGGGTTTGCGTCCCACCTTCTCTAGTCATCAGCATGCCTGGTCCTGGCATCAGCCTCTGCTTCCTCATCTGTCAACAGGGGATAAAAATGTGAGCTAGAACTGAAACCCCATATGGCCGCTCTGTCAGAACAAGGCTGAGGGGTTTTGGGGGGCCTTCCCAGTGGTGGGTGGTGTTTGCACGTGGGCAGTGTATGGGTTTGGGGGAAAAACAGGTGTACAGGAAACCAACAGCCCCCTGGGGCCTCGGCCTCCTGCCCCACCAAACGGGAAGTCCCTAGGGCCTCCTTGTCCTGGAGCCTGTGACCCTGAAGCATGTGTGTCTGTGAGTGTCCCTGGGTATATGTGTACCTTGGTGTTTGAATGAGCGCATGTGTGTGTGTGTGTGTGTGTGTGTGTGTGTGTGTATGCAAATGTGTCTCTGTGTGTCCACACCTGGGAGTCCATGGGTGAGGACAAGCTGCCTCTCACCATGGCAGAGGAGGATCAGAGATTCCAGGGAAGGGGGGCCCTCAGGGCCTGGAGCACCTGCTCAGTCAGTGCCCTGGGACACACCACTTCTGTTCCAGCCCCCCCAGCACCTGGTAGCTGGATCTTCTCTCTTCATTTCTCTTCCAGAGCACCCTGTGCTTCCTGATTTGCATTAATTTGCTTTCTGACTCCCCAGGCCCTCCCTCCCTAAGGGGCACAGCATCATTCTCACTCCTGCCAGCCCAGTCACAGAGGCCGTGGACTTCCTGAGGATCAGGGGGCCAGGGGTTAAGTTAGAGGGGCCCAGTCCCCAGCCTCCCCACTGTCTCCCATTGAGAGTCAGCCTGGTTCTTTCCCTTCTCGAGAGGTATCATTATTAAGCACTTACTGTGTGCCAGAAGCTTTACATACCTGTTCATTACATCCTCACAACAGCCCTTCAAGGTATCTTTATACCCACTTTACAGAGGAGAAAATCGAGGTTCAGAGAGATTAACTGACTTGGCTGAGATCACCCAGTAAGTGAGATTGGAACCTAGCTCTGGTGGACTTTCTGCTGATACAACTGGCATGTGGGAATGGGAAATGGGGCCCAGGCTCCCTCTTCCTTGGTTCCTAGACTCCCGGTAATAAGCCATCTGCCTGGCCACCTGACTCTTGCTCTTCTGGCTCAAATGGCCCCCTGGGGAGAGGAAGGTGGTGGTGGTGGTGGTGGCAGAAACAAAGGGGCTGCTGGGGCTTGGGGGTTCCTGCGTGGATTCTGGCCTGTCCCCACACACCCACCCCTGTGCAGCCTGGAGGTTTTCCCTGCAACTCTATCTCAGACCAACTGAGCTGGCTTCCCCGCAACTCCTGAGGGTCCTGCCCAGACACTGCCTGAAGAGGCCATCCTTCCAGGCCCAGCATCAAGGCCACTTCTTCCTGGCGGCCCTCCCAGATGCCTCATCAGAGGTGGCCTCTCCCTCAGCATTGCCCCTTGTCTCTGGACTTCTGAGCCACTTGGGGGGCAGAGGCCATGTCTGATTCCCAGGACCTAGAGCAGAGTTGTCAGGGTAAGGATTCAGTGAGTGCGTGCTTAGGGGTAATAATGATGATAATAAAACCTACCAGTGGTTGAGCGCTTACGTAAGCGTCCAGCCTTGTGCTAAGTGCTTTTCAGGCAGTTTCTCAAGCAGTCTTTCCCACAACCCTCCCTCCATGTGAATTGCATCCTATCATTAATCCCATTTTACAGGTGAGGAAACTGAGACACAGGGAGTTGAAGGGACTCACCTAAGCTTACACAGCCATGAAATGCGACAGGCAGGTTTCAAACTGAGTCTATCTGGGTCCAGAGTCTGTGTTGCACTGAAGGTAACTGTAAAAAAATGGAGATTCTAAGGGCTTGTCCTCGCTGGGTGCTGTGGGCTGTGGGGTTGTCTTAGACCACCCACTCTAGGCTGGGCTGGGCTGGGCAAGGTAGGCCAGTCTCACTTCTCACAGGGCTGGAGGCCAGAGCACCCTGGATCCCAGCCACTGCACAAGTCACTCTTTCCCTTTGAGCCTTCCTTTACCCATTTGAAAGAGGATTCTGGCCCTTGCCCAGCCTCCCAGGACAACTGTGAGGCTAGAGGAGTCAAGGCTGCCATTTTCAAATGGAGTTTTCCAGGAGAACCTCATTTTCAGCCACAATCTTATCTAGAAGGCCAACATACAGAACTGATAAAAGGGGTGTTTCAACAGAATAAATTCTAAGCTCGAGATGCTGACAGGTCCTTAGTCTAAAGTCACTTGAGAGGGTGTGTGACCACTGTGATGGACACACACTCTGCCCAGGGTGTGGGTGAGGCCCATGGTGCTGCTGGGAGTTACCCCAGCACCCAGTTTATTTCTGCAGCTTATCTGAGCTGCACGGCATCAAGAAGCCTCGAGGCCTGCAGGCACAAAACTGTTTTTGAAAAATGAGTTCAAATAAGCGTTAGTGACAGCTCCAAGGCCTAGCCAGGGGTTCCAGGTGTCTACAGAGCCCGTCTGATGACCCCCTGGCTGTGGGACCCTGAGCACGTCTGTTACCCTCTTTGGGCTTCAGGGGGCACAGGGGCCCATCTGTGTACCTCGGCAGGTCTGGATTTGGTGATGGGAGCCACTTGGCCAATGTCCTAGCTCCCCAAAGCCCCTCAGAAGCCTGGTCAGTGTGGGTCAGGCAAAAGATTGTATGTGGAGAGGCCTTCAGGAACTGGCCAGGGGACTCACCTGGGATGTGAGAGACAGGGTAGTCAGGATGGGGGGGGGGTGAAGCGGGGAGGGGAGGGAGCTGCCCAAGTCCTGAGAGTTTAAAAATAAATCCTGTCTGAGTGCTGTCAGCTACAGCCAGCCAGTGCTCCCAGGGCCTAGTGACATCACCCTGGGGCACAGGATGTCCCTGGCAGGGCTGGGGGTGGCAGAGGGGACATGGCAGGGGGGAGGGGGCGGGGTCCTGATCTGCCCTTTCTGCACCTGGGAGCTGTTTGTGTTTGGGGAGAGCAAGCCTGGGTTGTCCTGGGGAGAAGGCCTGCTGGGTGTCCCTCCTTCCCCAACATTTTCCACTTTGCATATGAGAAAACTGGGACTCAGAGAGATTGTGTCTTGCCTGAGGCCCCTACTTGGAGAGACTTGGCAGCTCTAGAACTCGAAGCCAGCAGTGTTGGTTCTCAGGTAGTGGTTCTTGAAGCCTGGTGGGCATGGGGTGGGGGACCATTTGGGGACAAGGCTCACCTGGATGGAGGGCAGGAGGTAGGCACCAAATGAGTGAATAAACGGCTAGCACCATGGTCGAAATTGGTCTGAACAAACAAGTTCCTCCTTCCCCTCCCTCCCCCTCATCACCTCTGCTCCTCACTCTGACACCCCCCCCCAGGAGGGACTGGCAAGGACTAGTGCTATCCCCATTTTATAGATCTGGAAACTGAGACCCAGGGACACAAAAGCACCTATTCCAGGCCTCACAGCCAGTGCATCATGCCCAGGTCAGCTGGGATGGGATCTGGTTTCCCCTGGCAGTCCTAAGACAGAGCCAAGGTAGTGTAGGGGGGTGAGAGAAAGAAAGGACTGCCATGGGAATACAGGGAAGGGGTGGGAGGGAGGCCTTGCCACCTCTGCTGTTGGGGCACCCCGTTCATTCGGCCTCCCTCCCATCCCTCCTCCTCCTCCAGGGGCTCAGTGCCCTCATGCCCTCAGGACAAAGTCTGGCCTCCTGGCCTGTCCTAGGCTCTCCCTGCACACCCAGCCTGATCTCTCACCACGTACCTGACATACTCTAAGCCTTGGCCTCACCGAAATGCTCACAGATCCCTACAGTGGTTGCTATTTCAGGCCTCTGAGCAGCTGAACAAGCTGTTCCCGCTGGCGGGAATGCCCCTCCTGTATCATCCCGGGGCACTTCTACGCAACCTTCCTAATTCAGCTCCTCTGGCCAGGACCTTGATTAAGCTTGGGATTGGCATTGCTGTTTGCTGCCCGCCTCTTTTCCTGGACCCACAACTCTTTGGGGGCAGGAATGATTTTGTATTTCTCTCTCTGTGCCCAGTGTCTAGCTAATAGATGAAGGAGTGAAGTTGGGTTCTGATCCTGCTCCTTTCTCACCATAGACTTTGTCCAAGTCACATCCCCTCTTGTGAGCCTTGTGAGGTGGGGACAAGGCCCACTTTGCAGGGTTGCTGGAGAATGGTAGGATGTACTGTCTCCCTGAGTACGCATGAAAGGGCTTTATCAAATCAAAGCAGTAGTTCCAACCTTCCTCCCTCCTGCCAGATGCTTGCTCATCCCAAAGGCAGCCACAGAAGGGGAGCCTCATCCCAAAGGCTCCCAAGCCTTAGAAAGCCCAGGATTCCCCTAGGGAGCCTGTTTCAAGTGCAGAGTCCAGGCCTCGTCCTCAGGAGGCCCACTCAGAGGGGCCTGGTGTGGAACCCTGGAATCAGCATTGTTAAGCGCCTTTCAGGGACCGTGATCCTGCTTTAGGAGCCTCCTGTGGAGGGACAATGTATTAGCCCAAGAGGATGCCCTGACCAGGAAGGGGCAGGGAGGGAGAGCCAGTGCAGTTCTGGTGGGACTGGGAGCTGGAGTTGACCTCAGTCGGTAGCTGCCTGCTTCCCTCCTCCTTTCCCAGTAGTGAGGTGAGCAAGGCCTAGACAAGGGGCTTCCTCAGGCCAAAGGCCAAAGGGTGGGCCGCCCGCCCCTCCACGCATCTGCTGCGTGAAGGTGTGCGTTTAGGCTTCAGGGCTGTCTGCTGGGAGACAGACGCTGATATAAATAACCGCGAGGCCAGGCCACATGAAGTAAGTGCGAGCAAAGAGACAGGAACCGCCGCCGGGGAGCGGGGGCGGCAGAGGCGCTCCGGCAGGAAGGCGCAGCGCGGGCCCAGAGCTCCCTTGGGTCCTCGATGACCTTCGAGGAGGAGGAAGGGGCTCCGGGCCTCAAGGCGGGGCCGCAGCGTTGCAGGCTGAGCTGCTCCTAACTGGGCCCGAAGCGGGAGGTGTGACACCTGGCAAGGAAGCTCCTGGGCTCCGGACCCCGGAGCCGGCGAGGGGCTGGGAGCAGGGAGCACCCCCGCCCGGCGTGGGCCGCGGCGACTCTGCGGCTACCACTCCCAGCCCCAGTCTCCGCTTAAGTCCACCCGCCCCCTCCATCTCCCGCCAGCCCGGCGGGACCGGAGGGGGCTGCTTTGTGGCGCGAGGACGGAACAGCCGAGCTATTCCTAGCGAGGAACCCCCATTGGTTCTCTCCCCACGGCGCTGACGCCCCGCCTCTCGCGCCGGCCGTTACATAACCCCTCCCCTCCCCCTCCAGCCTCCGCTGCGGTGGGGGGTGGGGAAATGGGAGGCTGAACCCCCTCTTTTGGGTGGCTTTGCCTGGCTCAACACCCTCGGCTTCTGCTTAGCGCCCAAGGGGAAACTGAGGCCGCCATCTAGCGGGAGGGTGACAGCATTCGCTAGAATTCTTGGGTCCGCAGGGGAGCCCAGACTGCGAGGCAGCCCCAGCTACACCTAGGGCCAGGGCTACTTCCTCAGTATCAAGGTTCCCTCCCTAGCCCCTACTTGGGGGCTCTGGAGGGCCCCTATTGGGGAGCCCTCCACAGCTGCTCCTCCCACCCCCTGTGTCTGAGCCAGCAGACCTCTTGAATTCTAAAGTCAGGCTTTGAAGCCCAGTGGTGACTGGTTCCTCAACCTACCCTCTGGGTGACCATGGATAAACTTGGCCTCTCTCAGCCTCAGAGTCCCCACCTATTAAATAGAGCTGTGATGGGTCCTACTTCTAGTGTTGTAGGGAAGAGCCCAGTCGTGTTACCACTTGCTGAGTACTTAGCAAGGAAACTGAACTGTCCCTACCAAACTCCCTCACCCCTCCCAGGACCTGACACAGTGCAGGTCCTGGGCCTGGCTCTGGGCTGGTAGGTGGTGCCCCACTGGGCCAGTCAGCTCCCTGTGGACCTTGGCCTTTGCCCGGGGAGCACGTGATGCAGGCCTGCCCTGTGGTCTGGTGGAGCTGGTCCTATGGGACTGGTCCTGTGGGCAGTGCAGCATAAGACCCCTGGGAGCACCTGGAGGTCCCCAGCAGTGCCACCCATGGCCTCACTCCCTGAGGTAGCCCACCCAACAACACCTGTTTTGAGCAGCTTCTAAGAGCAAATTTGGGATGAGGGAGGCATCTGCCCAGGCCTTCTCCATGCTGCTGAGACCAGGGGGACCTCAGTCTCTGCATCTGGAAAATGGGGATAATTCCAACTCCCTCTGTCCCTTCGTGCCCGGCCTCTGCCAGGAGGAGATCAGTGCCGCTATCCCTGCTCCCACTTACCGGGTCCCCAGCTTTATGCTGGTTTTGCCTTCAAACAGCAACCTGGGGTGAATCGGTATCCTTTTACTGCAGAGGAACTAAGAAGTAACTCCTCTAGGTGGGGTGACCGACTGCCCTGGTTTGCCCAGGACGGAGGGTTTCCTGTGACGCAGCACTTTCAGTGGGAAAACTGGGAGTCACCCTACCTGCAGGCCACACACCTCACAAGTGACAGTGTCTAAGTCCAAGGTCTGGCATTATGGCTCCAGAGGCCACACGCAGCAGCACCAAACTGTATTTCCCCTCAGTCACTATTTGCTGAATGAGTGAATGCACCCCTCCCCCATCTGCCCCCAGCCCTTTCTGGGCACCCTGGCTCAGGTATCTGGATCATATATGGATCCTGCCAGGAGTGTCCTATGGGAAGCCAGAGGTCTCTGGGTTCAGCTGCTGAGTTCCTAGAACTCCCTCAGCTCCTCCTTGGTTCAGATCAGCCTAAGGGAACTCCCAGGGTCCACCCATCAGCCCCTTACCCTTTTGTCTACAGGGGAGGCTGGGTTTCCAGTGGGGGAGCCACTCACCCCCTAGTAGCAGCTGTGTCACTTTGCTTCTTTGAGCTCAATTCCCTCACCTATAAAGTGAGGGTGCTAAAACTTGCCTCTGGTGGGGATTTAGGACAATGGAAGTAAAGCTGGCACACAGGGGGTCTGCAATACATAATCATTGTTATTGTTGCTTATCAATGTGGTAATGATAGCACACTATTTGGCTGAACACTTCACCCAGGAGGGAAACTATACTAAATGCTTTCCTTGCGTTCAAGGCCAGAGAAGCAAACACCAATTTTCAGGTGAAGATCTGAGTTTCAGAGAAGCGGTGACCTGCCCAAGGTCACAGCAGGAAATGACAGGGGCAGCGCCAGCGTTGGCAGGCTTCTGTACTCTTGTAGAACTTAGCTCAAGTGACGGCAGTTGGTGGTGGTATGGGGAAACTAAGGCACAAGGTAGGGAGGGATTGTGGAGGTTCCCACAGAGTGCCAGGCCCCCTGCCTCCCTCCCAAACAAGTTGGCCCTCTCCTTGCCCAAGGTGGCAGGACAGGTTGTAGGAACAAATCCTTTTCTCAAGCAGGCTGCTCTCCCCCCTAGTCGGCCGGCTGCCCATTCCCTCTGCCAGCCACTGTTCCCTGTCAGCCAGCCAAACCGTGGAGCAGTCCAGGACATTGTGTCCAGAGAGAGGGCCAAGTACCCGCCCCCCTCTCCCCCTTCAGTGGCTGCTGACCTCCCGCCCCACCCCTCTGGGCCTCAGGCCAGAGCTGCTCTCCTAGAGGCCAGGACAGTGTCTCAGCTCCTCCCACCTCACTGCAAGGCTGATTAAGGGTGGTGCCCCCTGCTCCAGCCCATGCCCTCTCCCCAGAAGACAACCCAATCCCAAGGGACTGGGTCCCCAAGGTGCCTCTCAGGAGAAGCTGGCTGGGCTCCTGAGATGCCAGCTTTCCTGCCTATGGCATTTTTGCTCTGCCTGTCCCCAAATCCAGCTGAGCCAAGGTGAGAGGCCCCCTTGGGCAGAGAACCAGCTATGTGGGGCCCTTGAGCCAATGTGAGCTGGACACAGCCTTGTCTCCCCACTGAAGAAAGCTGAGCTGCAGAGAGAGACTGGGATTCATGAAAAGCCACACAGCCAAAATGAGACTCCATAGACTGGGAGCAGGACAGGGGCTGAGGGGGACAGTGACAACTGGGAGGGGGCATTCTCAGAGAGGCAGGGGTACATGAGACAGGAGGGACCCCTCTGATCTTAGTTTAATTGCCATCTGTCCAGAGACACCTTCCTTCACCCCCTCCCCCAGGTAGAGGAGAGCTCCCCCAGTCGTGTTTTGTTTTCCTGCGGATATTTCTCTGCATGGCTTTTCTTGTTTGTTCATCACATTTATTGTTCATCGTGTCCTCTAGAACATGAGCCTGGTGAGGGCAGGGACTTCATTTTGTCCCTGCTGTATTTCCACTGCCAAAAACAGGGTCTTACACATAGTAGGAGGTCAATAAATATTTATTGAATGAAGGATACAATATCGGTTGTGCCTTTCAGAACTTCAGATGCCTCTGGGCTTCTTGTTTTTTTTTTTTTTAAACAGCTTTATTGAGGAATAATTGACATACAATAAGGTGCACATACTTAAAGATTATAATTTGATAAGTTTTGACATATTATACAGGTACACCCGTGAAACCAACACAATCAAGATAGTGAATCTATCCATCACCCCCGAAAGTTTCCTTGTTCCCCTTGTTAACCCCTCCCTCCCGTGCTTTCCTTTCTCCCTCTCCTGTCCCCAGGCAATGGCTGAACTGCTTTCTATTGCTACATGATTCGTTTGCATTTTCTAGAATTTTCTATAAATGGATTCAAACAGTATGCATTTTTCTTGAGGGGGGAGGGGCTGGCTTTCAGCATTATTATTTTGAGAACCCCATGTTGTTGCATGTATCAGTAGTTCATCTCTTTCTGGCTGAGTAGTATTCCATGGCTGTATTGAAGTTGGTTCAACCATTCATGCCCTAAGGACATTGGTTTGTTTCCAGTTTGGGGCTAACAGATAAAGCTGCTCTGAACATTTGGGTACAAGTCTGTGTATGGACATATATTTCCTTTTCTTATGGGTAAATACTTAGGAATGGAATGGCTGCATCACATTGCGGGTATATGTTTACCTTTTAAAGAAACTTCCAAATTATTTCCGGACGTAGTCGTACCATTTACATTCCCACCAGCAGTACATGAAAGTTTCTCATTCCTTCACGTCTTTACTAGACACTTGGTATGGGCAGTCTTTTTCATTTTAGCTGTTTTAATAGGTGTGTCCATTGTGACTTTAGTTTGCATTTTCCTAAGGACGAACAATGTTGAGCATCTTTTGCTTCTTTGCCATTCATATACCTTCTTCATGAAGTGTCCACTCACATCTTTTCCCTATTTTTGTGTTGGGTTGACTTCTTCTAATTGAGCTTTGAAAGTTCATTATAGATTCTGGACACAAGCCCTTTTATCAGATACATAATTCGCAAATACTTTCTCCCAGTCTGTGACTTGGTTTCACTCCCCTAACAGTGTCTAAGGGAAGTATTTTGTTGTTGTTTTGATAAAGTTCAGTTTATCAGTTTTTTCTTTGATGGATCATTCTTTCGGAGTCTTGTCTAAGAAATCTTTGTCTAACACAAGATCACAAAGATTTTTTTCCTCTGTTTTCTTTTTTGTATTTCGTTTTTGTTTGTTTCCCCCCTCTGTTTTCTTTGTAGAGTTTTGTAGTTTAGTTTTACATTCTGCCTTCGGGATAGCTCTGTGGCTTCTTGAAGGGTCATTTACACTTGCGGTGCATGGCTTCCGCACCTTAGTCCTTTTCCCCACTCCCTTCTCCACTGAGCCCCTGGAGCGCACTCAATTCTGAGTCCAGGTGTCATCTTGCCATCCCACCCTGAAGAACGGCATGTGTGCTGTGCCATAAACTCCTCACGCTCTAGCTTCTACCAACGCTCTGAAGAGCCAGCCTGGGCTGGCTGGGAGCCCCCTCTGGGCACTTGTGGCTCCCCGGGCTTGCTTCTGCCTTGGACCTGATTATAATGACCTGGGTCTGTCTTCTGCCCCACTCTTCTGCCGCTAGAAGCACCCCCACTCCTCCAGCAGGCCCGTGCCCAGGGCCCAGCTCAGGGCCTGGCACAAAGGAATGGCCCTGGGAAGGTTTGTTGAGTAACTGTGTGAGAGAACACTGTCTTACTTTCTCTGCCCCTAGCCGCAGATGAGGCTACCTGGGGTGAGAGACTTAACTCTCACGTTTAAGATAAAATCCCAATTCTCCATCTGGGCTTTGGGGCCCATGATGTGGCCCTGAGGAGGTCCTCAACCTCATTTGTCTTACCTCCTGTTTCCTGCTGGCCTTTTCCATCCCCAAGCATATCATGCTGGTTCCTGCCTCCCCTGCCCATAAAAGTGACTGACCCCTCTGCTGCTCTCTTTGTGAATTCTTTTGTAATTCAGATCGAAGGTGGAAAGCCCCCTATTTGGGAAGCTTCCCCTGGCCCCTGACCACCCAATCTGAAGGGGCCACTTGGTCCCTAGCTGCCATCACCAATTGTGATGGTCTTAACGGCACATCCTCACCATCTGACGTTTTTTCACTTGTTTATGGTTAATAGAACATCATCTTCCGGAGAGCAGGGATTTTATCTGCTGTCTGCCCTTATTTTCCTCACGCTTAGAACAGTGTCTGGCACTTATGGGGGCCCCATGTTGAATGGTGAATATTGAATGTTTAATAAATCAGAGCAGAGCTAGCGGCAGGACCCACATGTCCAGATGGCTGGGCCAGGCCCCTTCTGCCTGGACTCACCCAGCCCTGCCACAGCTCAGCAGTATTCTGATCAGGTCCTGTGCCTATGGAGGGCTCTGTCAGTGGCCATGTGGTTCTGCCTAGGGCTCAGCCCATCACTCTTTTCTTCCTTCCCTCCCTGGGAAAGGTGCTACAGCACAGGGTCCTCCAGGGTCCTCACTAGGTCAGTGGGGCAGCAAGAAGTGCTGGCCCACAGACCAGCCCGAAGGGCCTAGCTGGACAGGGGCCTTGCCAGGAGGGGGCCTAGCCCCACTGTCCCTCACTGTTCAAATGGGACAGATGTCAAGAGGGGAGAGAGGTGTTTGAGGTTACACAAAGAGTAGGGCAGCTGTGAAGACTGAGAACACACCCCTCTTGCTGGCAGTGAAATTCCCCAAATTAAGAACCAGCAGATGAGCAGGTTCCTGTTCCCCAGGGGCTTGGAGACTTCCTGGCTGGTCCCAGCCTGTCCTTAGGCCCTGCCTAGGCAGAGCTTGACCGAACTGGCCAGGCCCAGGGAAAGGAGGAGAGAGAATGAATATGTGCCCCTCCACTCCCTGTCTCATTCAGGAGGAGGTGGCAGTGGTGGGGACCAGACAGTGGCATCCCTTTAGCCTGTGTGCCAGCACTGACTCAGGCTGGCATTGACAAATAGAGCAGAGTTCTCCTGTCGCCGTGACTCACCCCCACCTGCCCATCTGCCTCTCTAGGGAGAAACTCCCAGGAGGTTTCAGGACACACATCTAGAGCCCCTGGAGAGGAGTGTCAATCAGCATACTTTACAGAATGCCGTCTTGTTGGGGGACAGGCAGCCTCCCACCTTGGCAGAGAACAGAGCAGGGGCCAGCCTAGGCCCTGTTGCTCAGAGAATGGTGTTTCCTTTTCCACCCCAGCCTGGTCCTGCTGCTGGCAGGGTTGGGTTTCGGCCTGTTTGCTGATGCAAGGACATATCCTGGACTGGGTTGGCTGGTGGTGGCATTTGAGGATGGGCAATAATGGCCCTGATGATGAAAATGATACTTGTCATTTACTCTGGGCCAACCCTTATGCTCAGCATTTCCCACTCATTATTTCATTTGTTTTCACAGGCAAGTACAGTTATTATCCCCATTTTAGAGGTGAAGGAACTGAGGTGTCAGAATAAGTGAAGGGGTTTGCTTGAGGTCACCCAGCTAGGAGTGGCAGGGGTGGGACTGGAACCCACATCTTCTACAGGAGCAGAGTCCAAACTCTTCCCTGACCGGTTCCCTGAGGAGGGGCCTTGGCCTTGCTTTTCTGTTTCCTGGTTAACTTGTACTCTTTCTTTGCCTCCTGATCCTGGGCTTGCAGTCCTCCCCTCCTGCGCACACCTGTCCTGTACCTTCTGTCCCACCTGTGCTTCCAGGGCAGCTAAAACACCTATACTAGGTGATTTATTTATAGTAACATAAATAAATGAGCATGCAAGGGACCCTGGCAGCCTGGACACAGGGACAGGCTGGGCTTCTCCCTGGCAGGATAGAGGAAATTGAGACCCTTGGGAGTGGCCTTATATCTGGCAGGCCAGGGCCTTGGCACCCTGGCTCAGGGCCTCCCTCTGTTCTACAGGCGCCATGGGGGCGGGGTGGTGGGGCAAGTGGCTTATGGAGGAGCCAGACCTCAAAGGGCTCCTGGACACTGTGCAGAGGTTGGATGTCTGGCCTGCAAGCTTCTAGGCCCAGATCACATGCTTGGTGGGAAGGGATCAGTGTGGGGTTGTTTGGGGAGTGAGGGGCCTGAGGAGACCCCCATATCGCTGATGCCTGGGAGCTGCTTTGCCCCCTGCCCAGCCTAGAGGTGGCAAGGTCAGCCCTCCCATGCCTGCTCCCCGCCCCCATGTCACTCTTCTTCCACAGATGTCACCAGTTTTACACATGAAAGTCACACACAGGTAAAAAATCTCAGCTTCCTCACTTCCCAGTTTTGTGAATTCAGCAGGTAATGTAACTTGGGAGCCCATTTGTCAACTGCATTATGGGGATAATACCTGTACCACCAGGTTGCTGTGAGGATGAAGATTGGCTGCCCTCTTCAAGCCAGGGCTTGCGGGGCTGATGTGAAGCATCGCTGCTGGGAGGAGGCACCCCAGGGAGGTTGTTTCCCCCATGGCAGCACTAGCAGGGGCCCTGGGAGGGCGGAGGTGGCTGAGCTCCCAGGGCTATCACGTGGGAGGCCAGCTCCTCCCCGGCCCAGACGGAGGTGGGCCCTCTCACCCCTTGCAGCTCCAGCTCTGGAAGGACTGAGAATCCGAGCTCCTGGTTTTTGGACAGAACCTGACCTAGGTGGGCTCTTCTCATCCTTGCCCACTCCTAGGGGTCTAGTGGTCTGGGCGGGTGAACACTAGATCTAGAGCTGGCTGGAGGCTGATCCCTCCCTCCTTAGGCCTCTAAGGAATAGGCTAAAAAAGCCAAGAAAATGTACCCTGCTCTCTAGGTCTGCTTCCCGCCATGGCTCACCACCTGTCAGTGGAGGGAGCTGGGGCAGTTCCCAACCTCCTGGAACCTGTTTCCAATGGGGAAAAGGACCCATGGGAGTGGGCACTCTGAGGTGTCCTGTGTGATGGGATGGGTGGTGAGAAGGGGCCTCTGATACTAGTGCCAACCCCAGGGGTCAGGTGGAGATGAGCAATCTTCTCTTGAAGTCGACAGGGGCCGGTCACACCCACTCTCTCCATCCTAAAAGGGACCCAGACACAAAACAAGCTGGGAGGCAGAAGGCTATTATATATCATGCTTTTAATACAAACTTAAAAAAATCTGGAACAATATAAACTGTACAGATTTGATCAATCTTTTTGTTTTGTTTTTAAACTAAATCTCTAAACACACCAATGTCCCATTCCAAAATATTGCACAACATTCTGAATACAAAATGCTTGATTGTATTCCTCCTTCACTAAAGAAAACAGTTTCATTGCCCTGCTCCCCCAAGCCCCTCTCCACACTGCCTCAATGCCCCCTTCCCATCTATAGGAGTCAAACTAGAGAATCTATAGCTCACTGCATTGAGAAAAATACATCATTCTGGACTAAAAGTTTACATTCTTTACAAGACGATCCACCTTTAGATTTGTTCCTGGAAAGAGGGGTAGATAGAGGATGGGAAAAGGGGAGAAATAGGGTTGATTCTCCTCTTTTTTATTTTAAAGTTTGTTTTTCCTGAAAAAATATCTTTGTTTCTCTCCTCTTTTTAAGAAAAAATATTGAAAAGAAAAAAATTACATTTTTACGTTAGAAATATACATATATTATATATACCTCTTACATTTTACAAATGTAGCAAATTATTCAATACAAACGGACACCAAAAAATGTAAAAAATGAAAAAAAAGTTTTCCTACGAAACCAGGTAAATTAGTGCAGATTTTTTTCTTAAAAAAAATAAAATTGAAGCAAAAATCCTTAGATTTGAGACGAGACAGACCAAACTGGGCCCAAGAGCCCAGCGCTGGAGTCATGCTCCTGAACACACATTTTTCTTCCTATTTCAAGACACTAAGGGGTTGGTCTCCCCCTCTCCCTGTATGTGGTGAGGAACAAGCTGACCAGGTGTGGTGGGCACCTGTGTGAGTGTGGGAGGAGGGGCTGGAAAGGGGCATAAGGCAGCATCCAACCTTTCCCAGAGAGCAGCAATCTGCCCAGGCCTGTCACCTGTGTGGGACTGATGGCTAGGGAGAGGGTGGCCCAGACTGGACTGGCGCCTGAGAAGTCTAGGGGGACAGATGGTACTGGGCCAAGGAGTCAGGGCATTGCCCCACTGGGGGAGGTAGAGCTGGTGCCCAGTGCAGGGAGCGGAGGCTGGCAGTGTCTGTCTGGGCTGGACCCACTGCCACAGCAGTTACCCACTTTGGGTTGCTGGGGGAGAGGACAGGGTGGGGTGGCAAGGGCTTTGGTGCTTTTCGGTGATGGGACCCTGATGCCATGTGCCCCACTTGCCAAAGCATCATGGCGTGGAAGGTGGCTCACTAAGGTTGGGTTAGAGAAACAACTTCTCTTCTGGCAGAGGTGGGGAGCAAGTGCTCTTCTAGAATCCAGACACCCCAGCTGCGATGGCTAAGCCCAGCCTGTCCAAAAGACCACGCCTTACAGCAACAAGGCCCACTGGGGTTGGGTTGGACAGTGAGAGGGGATGGCCAAGAGGTACCAGAAAGTTCTCAAGCAGAAAGGGGCAGAAATGTACTAAAATAACATCTACAACCAAAGGACCAAAGTCCCAACTCGAGGTTCAGGACTGCCCACTATAGGCACTGACGCAAACTCCGGCCCCCTGGGGTGCAGGTGAGCAGCTCTCACCCTGGGCTAAAGTCACACCACAGGAGGGTCTGAGTCCAGAGACTTCTCTTAGGCATCAGAGGCTGGGTATTCCCTCGGCCCCTCACGGCTAACCCATCTTTTTTTTTGGTCAGAAACAAGCAAAAGTGCAGATGCCTCCGCAGTCTGGAAGCCAGTTCTAACGCAGTGCTTTCCCCTAGGCATGTCTTAGGCTCAGCCGCAGTCTCAGCCCACCACGTGAACCACCCACAAAAGGACCAACAACCCGCCCTGGCCCATTCCCCAACCTCACACAGAAATAAGCACTTGCTGCAACCCGGAATCACATCCAGAGGGGGAGTTTCACATGGCTTGGAATCCATTAAAACAGGACAGCCAACCATGCACACACATGCATACACACACACCTCCCTACCCACAACCTCAGACCCAGGGAAGGGGCTACAGGAGACAGGCCACATGTGTCAATGGCTGGGTCTCCAAGGTCATGATGATAAGTCTGGGCCAGGTGAGATGGGGGCACGGGGCTACAGGACAGAGATAAAGGGAACTCCGCTAACAGAGTGCTAACCTCCCTGGAGTTAGGCATCAGCTCTGGGGGGAGGGCGTCTAGTGGCCAGGCGGCAGTTCCCTGTGGCCCAGGCCTGAGAGGGAGTGGGGCCTGGGTCAGACCTATTTAGGTGGCAGGGCCCAAGAAGGCCTGCTGAGGTTGGATGGCTTCGAGTGAGAGGATAGTTGGGTGACAGAGGCAGTGACAGGGGACAGCCCCTCCCTGATCTGGGGCGGGCCAGGCCCAGCTGTGGCCCTTGAGCTTGAACACACCAATCCTAGACCAGGCATGTGAAGGGAGGGAGGGAGGGAGCAACAATTCACATCTGGACCATCCTTAGCACAGGAAGCCACTAATTAAAGATGTTATATAGAAAACTACATGTAAAAAAAAAAGAAAAAGAAAAAAAGAGAAAAAAATATAAAACCCAAACCAACCAAATAAATCAGAGGCAGGCAGGAAAACAGCAGGGGGGTGGAGTTAAACCCTACTTGGTGCTTCGGGAGCCCCCTCCCACTCCATGCCTCGGCTGAATCGCTTTCCTAGAAGTGAGAGTGAGAAGACTGGAAATCTTTTTGTATCATTTTCTTTTCCTCTTTTTTTGGCCTTTCCTTTCCTTTCTCTTTTCTGTGGTCTTGGGTGCTCCTGGCTCTGCAGGCAGGTGAGTGGTCAGTTGGCCAGCACGACGGGCTGGAACGGCTGGCTGGGGTACTGCATGGTGTTCAGGTTGTAGCTGAGGCCTTCCACGAAGGGAGTCTTCTCCAGGAAGAGGCTGTTGGCGCCACCTCCAAACACCTGGGCCATGTCGAAGCTGCTGCTGTTGCAGGTGCCGGCCCCACTGCCCCCAAAGGGGGCCGGGGTGCCACTGCTCTGGCCATCGGCCCCATCAAAGAAGAGGCTGGGAGAGCCACTGCCGTTGTACACGAACTCCTTGGCATTGGGTGAGAGCTGGGACTGCGGGGCTGGGCTGGCCGCGACGAAGTTCAGCGAATGCACAGACAAAGACAGGCCCTTCTGCTTCAGCAGGGTGTTGGTGGGAGAGCGGGCCATGCGAGGCTGCTGCTGTGGGGGTTGTGGGCCACTCGCCCCGCCACTGGCCACACCCGCACCGCTCGCGGCCCCACCGCCCTTCTTCATCTTGGTGGAGCCAAACTTGGTGGCAGCGAAGGAGGCAGTGGTAAAAGTGATGGGCTGGGCGGAGCGGGGAATGAAGGTGGGGCTGGGCGACTGACCAAAGGATGGTGATGGGGAGTTGGACAGTGAGCTGTCCTGGCTGCCGATGGGTACGAATACCTGAGCATCGGGGTTGAAGCTGCTCTTGATCTCCTTGTCCAGCTCCGGGGCGACACAGCCCTCGCTGTCATCCAGGTACAGCACTTTCACTGCCCCCTTCTCACCAATCTGGTAGGACACCTCAAAAGGGTCAATCCAGACACTCAGCTCCTCAGGCACGTTGGCCCGCACATCCTCCACTGCAAGGCCACTCCGCTTGGCGGCCAGTTCCACCACGGGGTCCACCACCTCCCCGATGTGGACACAGCGAAAGCCAGAGCCCTTCAGGGGCCTGTCAGGGTACCAGTGGCCTTCATATTTCTTTTTCAAAAGCCGCTCTAGCTCTTCCCCAAACAGGTCTGCCCGCCGCCGAGGCAGCTTGTTGTACAAGTAAGAGAGGATGAAATTCAGGGCCACTTTGATCTCCAGCTGCATGGTCCTTTCCTAGGCACAGAATCAACGGAGGGCACAAGCCAAGGGCAGTGGCAGATGGGAGGTGGGCAGCCTCAGGCTCTAGATGGCTCTGGGAAATGAGAGAGGACATCATAAGATATGCAGAAAACCAAGGGGGATCGATGGCAAAGCACAGACAGAAATGCACCAACTTCGGATCACACTGACCCAAGATTCCATTTCTGCTTCATTGGTTACTAGCTCAATTGTGTGACTGTGGGCAGGTCACCTTTTTCTGAGCCTTAGCTTCATCAGCGACATGAGGCTATCATGAAGATTAGATGAGTTCAAGAATGTAGACCGTGGGCCGGCCGAGTGGCGCGTTGGTTAAGAGCTGGCTTGGGATGCCAGAGGGCCCCGGTTCGGATCCCACATATGAGGGCCAGTGACACTGCCCTCNTAAGTTTGAGGGGAGAGGGTGGGGGCAGCTCTCGTCTGAAAGCAAGTTATGACAGATGTTTTGTTAATGCGACAAGTCAGGTTGGTCATAATTAGTCCCAATTAACTCTCAGGGATGAGTCACTCTCATGGACACATGCTAGGGTGAGAAATTTTGTAGTTTCTTTTATCCAAGAAGACAGGTCCTCAATTTGATTCTTCAGATCCACTGCTCCTGCTGGGAGGGAGCAGAGCCACAGCCGAAAGTGGCTTTGGAAGTGATTGGATGCCAGGGGCAAATGACTTGCTGTTTATTCATCACAACTGATGTGAGTTGTAGGAAAGAAGTTAAGTGATCTAACCTGTCTTTTGCTAAGACACTAAAGCTGCAGTGTTTGAAGCAGTTAACATTTTAATTTTAGTCTTTATAGTGGTGGATAGGCCAGTGGGGACAGAATTGATAAGGAACGGAATAACTGGGAAAATGGGAATAGCAGTCCTTTTTTTTTTAAGGCAGGAAAATTCCAACCAAGGCAAAGGGTCTTTCACCTTTATGTCCCAGTTTCAAACTACTATTAAAGAGCTACAGGTCAAAACAGAGGGACATATAGTCTCTCTGAAAGTTAGACAATTCAGTTTGATTCCCCGGGAAGTTAGTTTTCTACATTGAGAAGCTGCTGAATGGCAGGCCAAGGTCCATATCTGGTAGTGTATTGCCTTGGCACAGAATGACACATTAACATTTTTAAAATGGGTTGACAACATTTAAAAATGGGAGATTGCACAAAAATCTTAGTTCACCATTTGTCCCAAATTCAAAAGATCTGGTAGCTGGGCCGGCCAAGTGGCGCGTTGGTTAAGAGCTGGCTTGGAACACAGGCTCTGAGCAGCAGGGACCCGGTTCCGATCCCACATGGGGGCCAGTAACACTGCCCTCTACAGCTAAGATGGTGAACAACAGCTCGACCTGGAGCTGGGCTGCCATGAAGGCAGCAGCCCCTGTTGCAGTGGGCTGCCATAAGCTGCCGTGAGCTGCAGCGAGCGGCCGTCCAGAGGCCATCGGCCGATCTGCCTCAGCCAGGAAGAGCACAATGATCACAATACCAACATGGGCCAGTGAAGCAACAACGTCCTCCCCAACTAGATTGAAGAACAAAATGACAGCAACTTGTCTGTTCCCCCACCCCCCCAAAAAAAATCTGGTAGCTCTGGGCATTCAAGCTGGCAATTGTTTGGAGCTGAATAGCAGCCATCTCCTTTAAGGCAGGGCCTGTGTGCTCTCCCGTTCCCAAGGTCCCCACACTCCCTATTGTCTCCCAGACAAGAAGCCCAAGGGTCACATACCATTTATCATGTTTGGGTTATTCTTCTCACACCCCTCCCTTTTCAATCAGTTACATTACTCACCCAGACTCCTGAGTTTGTGACCCTTTTTTCTGTACAATGTAACAATTGAGTGGCTGCCTGTTGTGTGCCCTGTAGGGGAGAGGCAAAAGGAGCTCAAGGATCTTATGTTCTAGTTCATTGTTTTTAAACTGTGGGTTGTGATCCATTAGTGGGTCATAAAAATCACTTGGTTTAATGGATTTCAGCCAGACTCTTTAGAACAGAATGGAATGACAACATTGAAGTGTAATACACACTGGAAATATTGTTTCATGAAACTCGTGCTATATCTATGTACTAGGAATGAAAATATTTCAAGTGAGGGAGATTGTTGTGGATATGGTACTTCTGGAAGCATTCACATCAGGAGCTTAGAAGGAAGAGATTCCACCAAGTTAGCTAGCTGATGGGACGGTGGAAGGGCATTTCAAACTAAGGAAAACAGAGCCAAGATGACAGGGAGTGTATAAGGAATGTCCCTTAACTGCTAGATGAAGAGCAGAGAGAGGAAAACCTGGCTAGGGGAGAGAGGGAACCATTTAAAGGACCTTCAAAGCCAGGACTTAAATGTTTCTCTGTGAAGTAGGGACGCACTGTAAAAGAACCACCGCTTATGTAAAGCCTTCCCAGTAAAGGTCAGGCACTTACAAGGTCAAATTTAATCCCAGGACCTGAAGAGGCAGGCTATTAGCCTTATTTATTATAATAGATAAGAAAAAAGCAGCACAGAGAGGCTAAATGACTCACTAAAGGTCAATAGCAGGGCAAAAATCTAATATAGGTCTGATTATAAAGTCCACACATTGCTCACTACTTTTTCTTGAGCAACAGCAATGTAATAAGTGCAATGTTTAAAGGAGATTAAATTACCATGTGTGTATAGTAGTATACTTGAGAAGCTGGAAGCAAGACACCCATCCTTTCTAGAACCTAGAATTGAATACTTAATAATAGCAATAATCATATCTAGAAATGGGAACCGCTTTCTAAGGCTGGCCATGATGAGTTGAATTATTTCAACGAAACCTATGTAGGTAGTGCTTATTTCAACAATGGAGAAAAACTCATGATTTTAAAGAACATTTTGATTTTTTTAGGGCCATACACAGATCATTACTCTAATTCTCTTCACAGAACTGTAGACTATTAAGAGCTTAAAATTCAGCTTGCAAGTGATGTTTTCCCCACAGAATTTGGTACAAACATTATTCCAATTTGTACAACTGAAAAGGAATTATTCTCAAGTCCAAGGTAGACAATAATTAATTAAATTCAAAACTATTTACTTTATGTGTCAGCTGTTCTCAACTCATTCATTGTATTGTACTGTTCTCTGTCTCTGAAATAAAACCAACCAAAAATGGGATTATGAAACTAGGTGATGGAGTAGAGTTCAGAGGAACACCCTGGGCTAAGGTTGAACTTGCCCCACTGCTGATGAGTTTGGAGAGAGGTTTGCCCTTTGGCCTCCTTCAAGTTCCCATGTAAGCCCTTTCAGAGGCATGCACACCGAGGCTGGCGGAGCACAGTTAAGGTGGTGTTCTGTTGAAACTAAGGAGTAGCTTCTGGAACATTTGTAGATGCAAGATATGCGGGCCAGGGTGGTGAAGCAGCAAATTTTAAAAACTCTGTTTTTTGACAATACATTTTGACTCATGTTACATGTTAAAACTCAAGTTACTGGGCCGGCCGAGTGGCGTGATGGTTAAGAACTGGCTTGGGACGCCAGAGGGCCCCGGTTNAGGGCGGCTTCTTCCTCCAGGGTGGTCCTGGACGCGGGGAGGAGGTTTCTCTCCCTTCCTTCCCGGGCACCGCCCGGCCGGGGCCGATGTGTTCTTTTCTTCGTTGAGGGTTGGGGGCGAGTTGGAGGGGTTATGGACTATGACTCTCAATAATTCTTTCAGCTTTTTGGAAGTCGGGCTCAGCGGCGGGGGACCGAGGGCGGGCAGGACGGCCGGCGGCGACCGCGCTGGGATGGCAGACCCGAAGGTGGCTCGCGTCGCGGGGCGGAGGACGGTCCGGGCTGTGGCCGGCGGGCGGTCCTTCCCTTCTAGCCTCGCATCGCCCGAGCCACTTGCTGCTCCCCGCGGACCACCCGCACCTCCCCGCACCCCGGTCCGAAGTGAGCAAAGTCAATGAAAAGTTTCACCCTTAGCAACCCTGCGCACGGATCGTTTCCCCACCCCTGCGTGATGCGTCCCTCCGCCCTGCAGGGGCGGGGCGGGAGCTATGCCGGGACTACTTCCGAGCCGGCGGGCCGCTTAACCCCTAGTGCGGTACGTGCCGTGGCTCTGCTCGGAAGGCGGAGACGCCTGGCGACCCCCTCACCCCCGCCATCCCTTGGTCTGCCCTTTCTCCACATTCAGATCCCTGCTCAAACGTCAGCCAGGTCGTCTACCCTCCCCATCACTGCGCCGCCCCGTAATTTTCTTCATCTCCCAAACCGCTCAGAATTCGTGTTAGTGTAAGGTATTTTCCTAGGGACACAGCGAACTCCGGAAAGGGCAGGGGCCTGGACTGCGACCACGTTGCTCACTTCGGGCGGGTTGGATGAAGGGGTGTTGCGGGGAGGGGGAACTTCCTCGCTGTGTCTTCTGTCCTATACCTGCCCCGAACCGTTCCCCCAGGCCACCTGGGCGAGTTCCTCCGGCTCTAGGCGTCCAGCCATCCCCGTGGAGCTCGCACTGCCCCAGTTACGGTCTCTTCGCGGGTGGGGAAGCGGAGGGAACGACGCGACCTCTGGAAACGTTTCGGACCTTTATCAACTCGTGTTGGCCCGAGTCTTCCGATTACCTCGTGCCTCGTCTGGGGACGCGTAATGTCGAAGGGAGGACAAGGGGGAAACCCGGGCTCGGGCACGCTAAGCGGGAGGAAGGAAAGGCGAAGGAGACACCAGACAGGTAGCAAAAGGAGCCGAGCCCCATATTAACCTTCCACTTGACGCCTCCGGCGCCCCTGTACCTCGCGGCGGGGCCTGGCTCCTCTGCGGACGCCGCTGTTCGCTCTCTCCTGCTGGCCACCCCATAAAGGATACTAGAAAGCCACTTTTTTTTTTTTTCTAGTAACAGCCTCCGCTGGCGGGGAGTGACGCCTGCCCGTGCCAGGGGCGCAGGGCTCGCGCACCCGACGGTCCCTCTGGCTGCGACGCCCCGTCCAGTCTCTGGCCATGCGGGCTCACGGCCACTTTGTGACTGTGTGGGGCACGGAGTTAGGAATGGGGAGACCTGTGCCCGGGTGAGGTCACAGGCGGACTGGATTGTCAGGGGGCGAGGCTCGGGGCCCCTGGGAGCTTGCGCGTGATGTCTC